CCCCACCCCCGGCCTCTAGTGAGCCGCCTGAAAGGTAGTCAATTTGCGTTACGAAACCTCCTGTATGGAGGCAACCGACAGTGATTCAAAATGCACCGAAGACGCCTAAAATGGATGGAACATATCCAGCGCCATGATGCAGTTCTGCTACATCGGGTTAGTACACACACAAATACACCTTTTGCTGTTGTGACTGCTAATAAAAGTTACTGATAGCATGTTTGCACCTTTTGCGAGTAGGCAATTTGAGTTACAATAGAGCGTTGGGCCGATAGCTCACATGACCTGGGTCCTGCCGGTCGGGATAGACTTTTCGGACACCCAATGTATCCTCCTTGTCCGGTGGCAAGCCCATGCCCATGGCAAGCCGGCTGGCCGGCAGACAGGGGGGGGGGGGCACTGCCGGTTGCCTACATACAGAGGATTCGTGACGCTAATTGCCTTTCTTCAGAGGAGGCTCACTAGAGATGCGACGCTTGGTGTCCCTTTTCCTAGAGTCGGGGACTCTACCCACCCCTGATAGACATCCGCCTCTGGAGGTGGTCATCCGGAGGTAGAGGAGGACGGATGGTAGATCCGCTACGTAATGGCTTGTCTAACACGAAGATACTAGGATACTAGTGGCCTCTTAGGCTGGAGAGGGGGGAGGGAATAGTTGACTTCTTGGTTTAATCTACTCCATGGTTTAATCGTCTGGAAGACTGATGGGGGGGGGGCGTAGCCCGATCACTACCCCTCCCCCCTTCAAGCCCCCATAGAGTTCGCCTTCACGAAGAGGCGCCCTTCCTCGCAACCCAGGAGGGCTACTCAACAGGCATCATCCCGATGCTCAAGACGATCGTCCTAGCGGTTGAAGCTGGCTGATACGGAATGAATGCGTCGGATCTTGAGAATCGGATGCGTTCTCCCATTTTCGGTGTTTAAATGTTGGTGCTGAAAGCTTGAAACAGCACCAACAACACGCTGATACTAGCATTATTGAAAAAAATAAAAATTTATGGAAAAGAAAACAAAGCATTGCTTTCATTTTGTTGTTAACGATCAGAAAAAATGTGTACGTGTCATGCCGAACTACTTGGAGGGAAGATGTTCTGCATGTTTGAAAACATTTTGTTGGTAGTGTTGGCAGCAGTTTTCTCGTCTCCTGCGCGCCCTCTTGCGGCGTATTTCCCAAACCGTACTCAGACAGTGGCAGCCCTGCTCGACGTCAGCCCTGTGGAGGATACCGTGTGGATACTCAATTAAAGTAAATTGCTTACGGTTCGAAAAGAATTGTTGTTCGGAGTGGTATCAACAGTCACCGGGGTTCGCGCAATACCGGGAAACGCCCTTTTACTCTCGTTTGTTGTGTAGCGTCTGCAAAAACAGATTGAAGGTTGGGCCGCCATCCCAAAAATCCTTTTCTCGAGTTACGGCTCTCCGCCCTGTACGCCGATATTTCAAGTTATTGAGGATTTTGCTCCAAAATGCAAGCCATCAAGTGTGTTGTCGTGGGTGACGGGTAAGTGATATTTTTACTGTCATTTTAAAGTAGTGCTCCTTCTCTGAAACCCCTGACTTTCTGCGAAAATCAACATTAGTAGGTGTACAAGGACCTGCTCCCATTTGAGATAGATCCATGAAACTTGTGTGTTTATATGTTTTTAGCATTCACATTCTTTACCGAGTTGAAGATTGTTTTTCTAGTCTGCCTTCTTGATCTTCAGTGGTAAAGATTAGTGTCTTTTCAGGATATTGTTTACCGAAATGTACTGTGACAGTCAGAGTAAGAGGTTAGGATTGTTTTGCTAAAGGTCATTTATTTACTATTATTTTACATGTAAGGAAATGATTAAAGTCCAAACATGATTATATTTTGTGACCATTTACCACTGTTAAGTTGCTGTTCCTACTATTCTGAAGAAAATAGTCTCACGTCACTCGTGTCTAGACCACTTGAATTCCCGCATAATGCAAGAATACATTTTATTGTCATTACCGTTCATCTGCTCAAACATCCATAACATTCTCAAAGTTGCCTACAGAAAAGTATGAGCTAATTTAGTTTGTCTTTAATTATTGATGCCCTCCATTATATTTCTTTTTGCCTCTTTTAAGCTTTTTCCAATCTCAATTTAATGTTTCTGAAAATTGTTTTGTTATACCGCTCAGTTTCCTTCAATTCCTGTTCTAGTTTTCATATGGACCTCTGTTATCAGCTACCGTATTCCAGCTGTAAATAGTCGTCATAATTTCCCTAGAACTCTAATCTACATTTGATTGGCGTTGCCATAGGCATATAAACTAGTGTTTAGAGGGAACCCCTTTTCAACAAAATTGTGGACCATGACGGCTAGCCTGATCTGCAAGCCGTTGCGCTGACGACGCCAGGTGTGTTTGGCGATTGTTGGAGGCAATCAGTGGCCTGCCTGGCCAGGCTCCTCGTCTTGAGTCACCGCGGACGGATAGCGCGGCGGACTCGGTGCTTGCAAGCGCCCGCTCGACGCCCAAGTCTCTCTGTTCTGAGTCAGCGCTCGCTCGTGTCTGCGGGGCCGCGGAGTCGCGTCCAGCCCACCACTCGCGTTGAATATTCGAATGTCCCACGTCATTCATTCATTCATTCATTCGCTTATCGAGCAGACTGGAGGCCATTCATCCGGATAGCCAGGGTGGGCGTATGGACGCCGCCCCGCCCCGCCTGGCGGTTTACCTTGACAGCTCGCCCGGCCTCCACCTTGGCATTGGCAGAGCCCCTGCGTGCGTGGGCGGCGAGGCGAGCGTATTCTCGTATTCTAGAGCGAGCATGGGAGCGCCGCGAGGAAGAGGAAGAGGAAGAGGGGGAGGGGGGGAGCAGGGGGCCACCACCCGTGGGGCATTAGTCCCCGCCCCCCTCCCGACCAGACAGCTTGGCGCGCTTTGCAGAGTTAAAAGAGACTGTGAAATAGCATTGGAGTGTCCCTCTGCCTCCCCCCCCCCCCTCCCATTTTTTCCAGTGTCGCCCCCCGTCCGTCTCGCGGTTTTCTGGATCCGCCCCTATGCCTGGCGCGGCCCCGCGGCGTGCGTAGCGCGCATTGCGCGGAGTGACCAGACCAGGGGGGGGCCTGCTGCTCGTGTGGCAGCAGGCTGCCGCCCCGCCTCCCGCCCCGCCTCTGCTGCTGGGCCTGGGCTCAAGTGCATGGCCACTGGTCTCACGCTGCGGGACGCGCCGCGCTTCGTGTCCTAATCATGGGAGAAGTATGAGACGTGGAGGGAGGGAGGGAGTGACCGCGCCGTCCTCTGACCTGCAATAGCCAACACACCCGCTGCACCAGCCGCCACCGCGACACTTCCCAGGGATTGTTTTGCCCTCGTCAGGCTCTTGCCGACGCGGACGGACGGATGCTTTTATCAGATCAGCGTCATCCGACCCCACCCCGTTCCACCTGACGACGAAGTAATAGAAAGGCTTTGCTAAGACGGATTTATATCTGCATACCGGCCTCTTCACATTTTCTTTTACAAACATTGGCAAGTGTGACTATCTTTTTGAGTTCTGTCGGTGATGGGCTGGACAAACGCACAAAGTCGACCTTCGAAATCATGCTTCGATTTAAATTACAATTGATTTGGTCTTAGGAAAGCTGGCCAGCCGGCCGTTAAAGAAACCGAGTCCAGCGGCTTTTATGGGTCGGGTCGGGGTGACACTAGGGTCCGTGCTTCAAATCAGCGAACCATGCCAGGACAGCCATTTTTGCACCCCTTCTCCGTGCGCCCACCGCCCTGGGGATCACCCAGAAAGTACGTCCGTCATTGGCCGTTACGAACTTTCAAAGTTCAGCCCTTGCACGCTCTCAGCGCCTGGTTGGTAGGCAACATCTCGCCTACAGCGCATGCGTGTACTGCGGGGTGGCCTACCCCGAGTCCTGCAGGCGCCGTGCTCCACCAAATTAATCGGAGATAATACGGACGTGGTTTCTGGACGACCCTTTCATGGGGAAAGGGGAAGGTTCGTGAAAACCACCGTGGAGTGGAGTCCGGGAGTCCGCGGGGGTCAACACAACGTACACGGCGCACGCCGCCGCCGTGCTGGCGCGGCTCGCTCGCTGGCGGCGTGTTGGCGGCGCCGCGGCGGTGCTGTCCAGCCCAGATGAGGGCGGGGCGACGCTCGGGTGCGCACGGGAATGCGGGCTCTCGCCGCCACGCTGTCCGCGGAGGGGCGCGGTGGGGTAGCGGAGCGGAGGGCGCAGTAGCAACAACTTTTATTTTACTCGATGTGAGGCGCTTTTTAGCTGACGGGCCGGCGGCGGCCCCGGCGCACTTATACTCGCTCTTGTTCCGCCCGGCTTGAATGGAGGGCGGGGCGCCGCGATTGGGGAGGGGGGGGGGGGGGGTCCTCTGGTTTTGGGCGTCACCGCCGTCACAGCCGACCGCCTGCAAGCCGCGGGGTGGGGATGACTTACACATTTTTTCGTTCGACACGTGTCCTCTGATAGCGGTGCATTAAATGTTCGAGCGCCGTCCTTCCAAGCTGGGCGGCAATTAGGGGGGGAGGGGATTTCACCGAGGGAAGTCCTCTGGTCGGCCCGTGACCACGACGGCAGTGTTCTCGCCGTGGCTCTCGTCTTTCCCCGAGACTGTTGTGTTTGCACGTCCCCGGCCCGGCCGTCCTGCCCGGCGCGTATCTCGACCACCTGCTGGACGTGACGTGCAGTCACGGAGCGGAAACTGCTATTGACAGCGCGGCCAGGCCAAAGCTACTAGGGGAGTCCCGTTGCGCGCGGGTGGGGCGGGGCGGGACGCGCGGGGGATGCCCCCCTGGAATGGGGAATGGAAAGCGGGCCGAGTGTGGGGGGAAGGGGGGGGGGTATGGTCTGTGCGGCGGCAAATCGCGTGTATGTTGGCGAAACTTAAACGGCCTCTTCCTCGTTCTGTCGCGCTCTTGTCCGTCCCCGACCCGGGTATGGCGCGGTCGGTGTGGAGGGAATTCCCTTCAGCCGCTCTCTCGGCGGCGGATCTCGGGCCGCACGCGCCCTGCCTTCCTCGCCTTGCTCCCGGCCTTGAGGGGGCGCACCGAAATAGCCATCGCTGCGTGTGGGATGGGATCCCCCACCCCCTTCCTCCCTTATTATTTTTTCTTGTGTTTGAAAAGGGGGGGGGGGGGTATTTTTTAGTTGCCTTTTAAAATGAATTTTTAGAACAGGGCCCCACGGACGCCGAAACGGTGCCACCCCCGTTCTCTATAGGACGACCTTGTCCTGAAGTGCCAGCCCGAGTGGCCTTGGTATTTGTTGTAGGTCAGCGCAGCAGAAGCAGCAGGACTCTTTGGTGTGTGGCGCCGGGCGCAACTTGGCAGTTCATGTATCGATTTTGGTGGCACCCCCCACAAAACCAGTTGCCCATCTTCATGTTTTTGTTTCTGTCATTTTTAAGCCTTCAGTGAACTTTTCTAAACTTTTCCACGGATAAAGTTATGCTTTTATAAGAGATCCTATTTTTACGCTGGTTTGCTTTTTGTTTACAGTGCCGTCGGTAAAACTTGTCTGCTCATCAGTTACACTACCAATGCATTCCCAGGAGAATATATTCCCACTGTGTAAGTCTTTAAAACTGTGTTGATGTTACACTGTGAAATTTTGTAATAATTTCTGAGTATATGACCACTTTCTGTTAACAGATTTGACAACTACTCTGCAAATGTTATGGTTGATGGCAAACCTATTAATTTAGGCCTATGGGATACAGCTGGTCAAGAAGATTATGATCGTCTCCGGCCTCTATCTTATCCACAAACAGTAAGCAATAAGTGTTTTTCTTTCCTTTATATTTGAACTTCCTTCCTTCCAAATGCTTATAATTTTTTTAATTTTCAGGATGTTTTCCTTATATGCTTTTCTCTGGTAAATCCAGCATCATTCGAGAACGTCAGGGCAAAGGTAAGAATGAGGAAACAAAATAAACAAATAAATTTTACTGACCTATACCTTTTAGAAAACACCTTTATTAACCCTGCTCAAATTGAATTTTTCAGTGGTATCCAGAAGTGCGTCATCACTGTCCTACAACACCAATTATTCTGGTTGGTACAAAGTTGGATCTTCGAGATGACAAAGACACCAATGAAAAGCTGAAAGAAAAGAAGTTGGCACCCATCACCTACCCACAGGTGAGAAATTTGAATGTTCTCTTTCTCCCAAAGCACATTTTCGATTCAAGGTATTTTTAATCTAATCTCTAATATTGTGTTGTTTCAACCAGGGCTTGTCAATGGCCAAAGATATTGGAGCCGTGAAATATTTGGAATGCAGCGCTTTAACCCAAAAAGGATTGAAGACTGTTTTTGATGAGGCTATTCGTGCAGTCCTTTGTCCTGTCGTGCCTATCAAGCGCAAAAAGCAATGTGTTTTGCTGTAGAGCCTGGGAAGAATTCTTTGTTTTGTAGGAAATGGTTTATTTTTACCATAGAGAGAAGACTTAATTTGATTTATATATTGGAAAGAGAATCGGAATATTGTGAAATGTCTCTTCGGTGCACATTAGGAAATCTTATCCTCTTCTTTGTAACACATAATTTTGTCTGACTGTGATTCTTAGAAATCATTTGGGTCAGAATTGGCAAGCATGTTTTCCTGCAAGTTAATTGCTGGAATAGCAATACTGATCCATATTAAATTTATGAAATTCATTCTGTCCGAAAGATTAATTAACATTATTTTTTAACTTTGAGGGAACAAAGGAGCACTTTTCAATTTTTTAACAGTTCATTGGGCCTATGAGGGAGGGGTTGGGGGGATAAAGGAATTGAAATATCCTGTTACTTCTGTGGAATGTTTGTGTTAATCATATCTATTAGCAATCAGTGAGTAGGTGTGGGTGTGTAAATGCTTATGAATGGTTATTCATCTGCATACTCGCTGTCACTGTTGCCAGTAACTCTTGCACATCATCTTGTGCATGTTTCAACCTCTTGTGATAGCACAAGGAAAACTAACAAACTATAGAACACCTAAAGTACTGGTTTGGGTGCATCACTTAACTAGCCTCTTGATCTAATAGCTGTTTATTACTAATTTTACTAAAACAACAAAACTGTAGCACATTTTGGTTAAAACTTTGATGTATTTACAACTTAGATCAACTTTTTATTGAAGGTTGAAAATTGTTGTTTTTCTTCTCTTTTTTTTCTAAATTTATCTATGGACTTAAATTGTCACTGCCATTTTATCCTAAAATACTTGTTCTTTCACTATGAAGTCTCTAGATTATTCTGTAGGCTGCTGAGATGTCTGTTTCTTATGAACATATCAGGAGTTTCAAATGTTACTGCATTTAATCCTTTAACACTTATTCTACTTATGCCTACAATTGGCTCCCCAACCAATTTTGTGAAATGTTGCTATAGAGAACTAAAGCAGACTGAGTCAGGGAGAAATATTTCTTCAACTATTTAATTGAGAGTAGTTTTGTGGTGACCCTTAACGTTTGTCGCACAAAGTAATGCACCAGACAGTTACCAAATTTTAAAGAACAACTTGTATTTTTTTTTAGTTAGGATTTAATATTTCTCAATTTTTTGTATATTTCATACCCACATCTGCCACTTTCTTGTTTTTTCTTTCTATGCCAGCTTTCCTTGGATGTCAAGTGTAAGTAGAAGACTTTAGTGTCTTCTTTCTAGGATTAAGTTAGAATTATGAACCAATTGCTAAGTATTCTGGGCTGCATGTAAGGGCGCTAAACCTTCACTGGCCCAAAGTTTTGAAATTCCCTTACATTTTTGAGGCCATGATTAAAATTATTTTGCTATTCTCATTGAAGAGTAACTCAGAAATCAAAAACCTATTTCACCAAGTTTTCAAATCAATTAAAAACTTTAATTGTGTATGTAGTTGTCTAACAGAACGGATAACCTGATCGTGTGTACTTCACTTGTGGCAATTGTATTCCATATATTCCCTTCAGTAACTGTGCTTCCTCCCAATGGTGTACTAATTTAAACTTACTTAGAGCTCATAGCTTTTTTTTTCTTATTTTGTAAATTATGATTCCGAATTGTGAATTTTTGGGGTGGGTATTAAACTTGTCTAGAGAACATTACAATGCAAAATTTGTTTTTGATGTGTCCTTTGTTCTGTTTGGTTCAGGGCTTTCTACAGCTGATTGGTGATATTGAGCCCAATGGTAAGATAATTTTTTATAGGGTTGTTTGTTTGCATAATTGTTGTAGAGAGATTTATTTTATTTTAAAATATATATACAATATGTTACTCTTCTGTTTGATCATTTGAAGTTACTGGTATGCATTAGTAAAAGCTCAGATGTGTTTGAGAAAAGCAATTGTTTCCACTCAGTTTGCATCAAACTTATTGAGCGATTTTGTTTTTCATGGTGGGGTTAAATTGTTGCAGCTTTCCTCCAGACTTCTTTGGCACAGCTTAGGTTTTAGATTGGTATCCCTAATACCCACATTTTGACATCCCATATGTATTGTCTTCTGAATTAATTTTTTTTCCTCCTAAATTTACATATTGTGACTCTTAGGGTAGTAGGTCTTCAATATTTCTGTACTGTCCCTGCCCCTCTTATTTCATCCTACATTAGCCTGTTTGGGGTGCCTGCACCTTGCACCTTGTCTGGTGGGATAGAGGCATAACTTGATGAGTTCCAGATCATTAAATCAGTGCGTGGATGCTGAAACATGTGTTCAATTTTTTAATAATTACCTTACTTGGTTAAACATAATGGCTTAATAAATTAATTAATTTGCTTGAAAACACTTGTGTAATGATAGTCATGCGGACAGTTTGTTCGGTTTTGTTACAGAATGCAATAGACTTGCTCATCAGAGAAAATTGACCCTTAACAGGTAGTTTCTTAATATTGAGTTCTGTGTAAAGCTTGTTTTGTATAGGCCAAGTGATAATGCCTCTGACTAAGTTGTGTAGCTATGTGAGTAAAATCCTTTCATGACTAGATGAGGCAACCCAATTGTTTCATTGTTGAACAGTGATATTTAATATAGTTTTAACATGATTTATTGCTTGTTTAAGAAATACATTAAGATTTTTAATGAACCATTGTAAAGCTATCTTCATGTGTTGCTGTTGTGGTGATGTGTGACTAGGCTTAATTTTACTGTAGCCTCAATCGTTCTTTTATGTTCACTAAACGTTGTCGTGCTTGTACATAATTCTTCCCATATTTTCTGTAAAAAAAAGGATTAGATAAATTTATATTAATCGTAATTATGTTGATATTCCTTTGAATCCCTACTGTGAAGTAAAGCGACAGCACAGCTTTGACAAATGAGGTAATACCCAAGTGTAAGACGCAAAGTGGGTATGAGAAATGAAATTTCATGTACCCGCAAACTTCAACACTTTATTCTGGAATGTGACTAAATTATGTAGGAGTTTGATCAAAAACACTTGGTAAGATGAGTGGCCAAAAGACAGGTAAATTTATCCTACCTACAGCAGCCTTTAGTTAAAGCAAAAAAACCTTTGCACTCATACATCATAAAAAATTACAAGAGATCTTGAAAACAAATATAAAATGTGTAAGACTCAGAATTCACTCAAATTGCTTAAGGTACAAAATATCCACAAAAAATTGATACAGATGCAAGATCATATTACTTAGTTTATAGCAGTAAAGACAAAGGTGCAGATTTTCACTAGTAATAATTTATTCGCTCTTTGTTTTCTTCTGGTCTTCTTTGAAGTGAAGGTAAATAAAACTCAGGAGAACAACTCCGATCATCATACTAAATGCACTAGTATAGTATGGATATGCGCTCAGAATAAAACGCTCATATTGGGTGTGTTCTAAAGGTCGAACAGAGACCTGTGAAAAGAAAAGTTATTAGATTGGCAATTTTTTTCTATTTTAACAAGTAATATTACTTAAAGATAACATACCTGAGTTGTGCTAAACACTCTTGTGTAACCAATACGATTGTATTCAACCTTAAATTGGAAAACACCATACACATCCGGGATAGTGAATGACACCTCATACAAGCCAGATTTCTGCTGATAGTTCAAAGTTGTTCTGACGAAAGGATCAATTCGGACAAATTCCATCTGAACGTCACCTGCTTTGTATGGAACCCACTTATTTCCATCAAGCTGCTCAATACCAATGGTATACACCTGTAATTCAAAAGAAACATTTCTAAAAATGTCAAACTTCAACTAAATTATAGTGAAATGATAGAAATTGCATACTACTCACAACTGTTTCCATTATAGTATAGCTGCTTGGAGGAGACATCTCCCCCTTTTTATGGTGTGATACAGATTTCACTCTCAAAACACCACTTTCCCTTAACACCCATTGACTAACAGATGTTGCAACTTGAAGATTTCCAGACACTGGATGCTTTTTGGTATCCTGCACATATAGAATTACTATTAGCATAAATCCATGGGAAAAGTTCAAGTGTTGTATAACACATGATGAAAGCAACAACAACATAAAAAACAGCATACCAATGCTTTTTGGACGGGCGACGAAAATGCTTCATCTGAAAAGAAATAAAGGGAACCAGAAAACACAACACGGGCATTGTTGCGAGCTTGAAGCGCAGCGATGAGAGCAGTGTTCTTGCCAACAGCATGTGGGTACTGAAAATAGTTCATCAATATGTTATTTAAATAATAAAAGGAGAAAATCAATACTAAAAATATCACATACCTCAACTATTGAATTGTCTGGGTTGTAGCTGTAGGCTGTGCTGTCAGCAGACAGAAGGGTCAACACCAAAGGGTTTTCTCTATCCACTACCAGGCCAGTACCTTGGAACAGCAGAGGTGTAGCAGATTTGGGTCCAACAATGACCGGAGCATCAATCAAATTGGTAGGGCTTGCAACAAGAAGTGTATGTTTTCCACTGTCTTTTACATCATAATTTAAATGGTCAATTACAACAGCACCATCATCGTCAACTTCAAATCCACACTCAGAGGCTAGCTCACGAATCAAATCGCTTGTGCTTGAGCTGGCAGCAACAAGCAGATTACCTGCAACATTAAGCAAATATGATAATAAATAAACAAAAGGTAAAAGATCATAAATGAGAGAAGTAAAACAAGTACCCACCTCCACCGTCGATAAACTCTGTGATGGATTCCACACTTAATGAGCCTCCAAATTCATCAACAGATGGAGCAAATATGATGAGATGGTCATAAATATATTCTCCATACTTCGTAAGTGCTAAGCTAGCATCATCAGCTGATTTGAAGGTGAGACTATGACCTCTCTCTGGAAAGAAAACAACAGTTGAGATCTGACAAGTGCAGTAGATCCAGCACATGAACCAGTGTGTGAAGGATAAAATACATGATTGTACAGAATACTCAGTAAATGATAAATGAAAAACAATAAAATAAACGACTTATTTAAAAAAATTGACAGGGGGGAGGGTGAGACAAAAGTAAAGTCAGTGTCCTTTTTCTTTTCCGCAGAAGGATCAAAGGAGTGACACTAGACGTTGCCGGTCGGTAGCACTTAAATATAAAAGCGTGTGCTTTCACTCCAAAGAATTAAATAGGTAACCGGAACAATTGAACGCAGACATTTTAATTGAGTTGATTCAAGGGTAATTATTGTATTTTAACGTGCACAAAACATGTTTGTCTTTAAAACGCCGGCACTAACCTTGCAGAGATTTGAAGAAAATTGAATGAGTTTCTTTGATAGCTAGATTATCCAAAAGAACCAATGTATTTCCACCGGCATTAACGGCAACAAATAATGTTACAAAACCAATAAAAACGCCTAATTTCCCCGAAAACTTAAATGTTGCCATCTTCGGTGCTGTCTGTTCCGTCACCCACAACCGGGAGACGTTGGCAGATCGTGTGGCACGTTACAGTGTTGCCAGATGTACGTGGACCAGCCCAAAAGGATTTTCAGATATCCGGTAGGCCGTGCTTACAGAAGTTTTTTTTTTTTTTATTTTTTTTTACAGAAGCAGGAAGCAGGGAATGTCAGTGTCAGCAATGACAATGTTTGATTGACAATCCAACATTTTTAACATTGGCTGTCTAGAAGCAAATTAAGGTGGATCAGGTTCAAGAAAAAGAAATGTCATGGATGAGGAACAGTTCAATCAGAATTTATTTCACCTCCAAATACAATAAACAGTGAAGGAATCAAATTAGAGCTCTTCTTTCTCTCCTTCAGTTCCATTCTTGCTAGGTGCATGACGAGATTTGAAGATTCGAACAGTTTTATCAGCTCCACCAGATACCATGTAACGAGGATTACTCCAATCAACACACATAACTTTATCTTCGTGGCCCTCCAAGTTAAATAATGGTGCTTTAGGACTGGAAGAGAGAATTCATTTTGAGAAGTTTTCAAATTTTAATACATAACAGAAATTATATAGAAAATAAATGGCAAGCATATACCTTCTAGAATCCCAAAGTAAAACTTGACTGTCATGTGCACCAGAAATAAATAAGTGCTCATCAGTTGTTGACCATTTCACAGATTGTACCCATTGTGAATGAGAAGTAAATGTACTCTTTACAAGTGATCCCTCTGAAAATGATTACCATAATGAAATTAACGATGTTACAAATAATTATGCAGACCATAAGATTTTTTTCGTTTTTGTTACCTGTAGATCTGAGGTCGTATAACCTTATGTGTCTATCAGCAGATGCTGTAATGACAGTTCTATTTAATGATGAATGAGACATATCGAAGAAAGACTTATTTCCAGCAATTTCACTCTTGATGCCTCCCAACTCAGCATCCCACAAACGAAGAGTGTGGTCCCAAGATGACGTTGCTAGTTCTTGATTATCTGTCCACACCACTGAGGAAATTGCTTCCTTGTGCCCTTTAAGAGTCATTATTGGTGTCTGAATTAGAGGGGAAGGAATTATTGTGTCAAAGTAAGATATACAGGATAATGTACAAACTTGATCTGCAAATTTAGGTTTAAGTTACCTTGATGTGCGACTTTGAGTTACTCTCCACTTTAGCTCTTTTAATTTCTGTTTCATCTGAATCTCCAGTAGAGTGAGAAGCTGCTGAGGAGGTATCCAACATGGCTAAAAAGTCATAATTACATGTAAATAAACTATTTCAAAGCTTCCTGTATCTAAACCAGAGCTAATAGGTCTATTTATTAAGAGCTCTTACATGTAGTCCAAATTTTTAGTAGGGTGTCCCACCCTCCTGTGGCCATCAATGTTGAGTTGTGGTTGACGGAAACACATTCCAGTGATCTCTCATGCCCACGGCAGACATGTATGCAATCAACTGAATTGTCTTCAATATTCCACTTCCAAAGCATGGCTGTTTGATCATGTGAAACACTGAAACGGATATATTTTTTTTGGAAGACAAATTATCTTTAAGTAAATAAATTTAAATTATAATGCATTAGAGTCACACAACAGATTGTGCATCTACTCACCTTACAAAAGAACCCACAGTTGGTGTCAATGAAACCCATGCAACTGCTTTTACTGGACCTGAGTGACCAGGAATAGTGAGGTGATGTGTTCCAGTTTTAGACCAGATGTGAAGGGTGTTGTCATAACAGCCTGTGAGAATCCTGTAAATTAAAACCAGAAATAAAAGCACATCTAAACAATTAATAATGACCTAATGATATATGAGAGACTATAATTATCAGGTAGCAGAAGAGGAATATTGCAGAAACATATACTTGCTTATAGGCAGTAAAATAATTTCAGAACTGTTATAGTAGCAAAAATTGTGGAACTTTTGCATGAGTATGTGGTTAATAATGAATGGAAAACTAAGTTTTTCCATCATTTGAACTCACCAGCCATTCCGAACATGTACTGCTGAAACCCAGTCGTCATGCATCAGACAATCCATAGGTTCAGGAGTAGGATGTTGTTCGACATACTCCACATCAATGACATCTTCAAATGATACATTTCGCTCCTCCAAGAGGTCATTAAGAGGTTGCCGCAAAAATTCTCCACAAACAAGGAAGTCAAAATCTACTGATGTGATATCCGACCTGCCCTCTGTAATACAAGTTATAATAGGATGTGGCCGTTGACTTTGTGGTAAAACCTACTTAATTTTATTTAAAATAGAGAATTTATACCTTTAAGCAGCTCATTTAAGAGAACATTAAGTTCATTTGAATTTATACCAGCAGGTACAGCGAACGGTAAGTCAGGGACAGCATACCTAGAAAGAAATTTAAATAAAGGAAATTGTTAACATCTTGTCGTTTCTTAATGGTCAGGCAAATCGTAGGACAGCAAGTTTTATATTAAATTACACTCTGTAATTTTAGGTTTAGCTGCTCAACAAACATGGAATTAAGTTACAAATCAAATATTTTACCATAAGTTGATTTGTTAGATACAAAATGAGAGTTGAGCTGCAATAGCATATTTTACAAAGCAATCAAAAATTAACTTACTGTTCTTGTTTAGTAGTAAATCGAATCTGAACTTGGCCCGTGCCGGATTCCTGAGTACTGGCCATGGTAAATAGTAGGTTATATACAAGAGCCAAATGACAATACCACGCCCCTTTGCAACAATTAGGAAAGTCGACTGACACAACTTTGTGCGTACAATTGCAATATTTTCGAAATAAAACGCCAATTGACACGACAGTGTACAGAAAAAGGACTTTAATCAAGAAACGAGACGACTAGAACACACGGCATGTTCATGTTGTGCTGTGTTGTGCGTGCGCGTGGGAACGGGGGGAACGGGGAACAGGTTCCGTACAACAAGGAACAGGGAACAAGAGTATGAAAATTTCACTTACGCATGTCCCCCACTCCTGCTAATGTTCTGGACCGGGGGATGCGGGGAGCGAAGGGGGATTACCCCCACCACTATGTCTTCCTGCCACCCCTCCCCCCCCCCTAATTCCCTCCCCTTCCTGCCGGGTTGAGTCGGGTCAGCTGGCGATGACTGTCGATTGCTACAGCTTCAGTGCTCCACTCTTTGTTGTTGCTTTGTCGGGTTCGTAGTCTCAGCTGATTCGAGGAAGCAAGAGGCCCTTGCTGCATCTCGACCCAGCTCACCAATTCATCTCTCTGTTTCCAGCTCCGAGTGATTCGCAGCGCGACATCGGTTGAAGAGTTGATTTTGATCAGTTCCTTGCGGTGGGCTACCCCCAGCCGCTTTATTTGTGTCGAGGATGGGGTTGCAAGCGTTGTGCCCGCGCGGCCTATTGGGCTTTGTTCTTTTTGGGCTGCTTGCCTCAACGGCCCTTTGCGAGGATCTGGAAACTGCGCCAAAGTTTAACGATGTCTACACCGCGAAGGGCACACTGTACATTCCCTACGCTGAAATCAGGGAGCCCTTCTATGCCTGGTACGACGAGAGGGGACGCAACAGCAGAATCGACTACTATGGTGGTGAGTGGAGGCAAAGGCCTCTTATCAACCCTTGCAAAACCCCTCTGTTATCTCATTGCTATCATGTTTATGAGGAAAAACTCCTGTTTGGCTACAATATTCATGACCTTTGCTCTGTTCTTTTCCATGAACACAGAGCCATACATTGAAATTCCAAATCATTGTTACGTAACGCTTATTTTAAACCATCTGACCTTCCATTTTTTCCAGGTATGGTGAAGACCTATCAGCTCGGAAAGCAAACCAAGTACGGCTCAAGTATCAAAATTGCTCCAGTGACAACCGAGACTCAGCTTAATGAAGACACATGTCTTCAAGTCAATGGAACAGATGATACAATGATTGAGCCCCAGAGTATTGTTCCAGATTTAACTGGGTTCAAGGTAAAAACAAGAAGAGCATCAGGGCATCAAACATGTTTGATACATTAGGAGAAACCTCGTTCTTTACCCAAGTTTGGTCTGGTGTGATTATGAAATGAAAACAGAAAGATCATTGTTGTTAATGACCGCTCTTCAAAACTTTTCGCGCCGACGCAGTTTTAGCTTTTCTCAATAGATGGCGCTGTTCGCGCATGCGCTTGATTGTTTTTTTCGTGTTAGAAGAATTTCATTTGAGATAGGTTTTAATCATTATGAGAACCAAAAAAGGTTATAATATGATTGTTTTAAGTTGAAACATTAACGGCTAGCCTACTTTTAGTTGTTTAGCCAAATTTTTTCAGGTAAAACTTATCTCTATTAAGATATTTGTCCGTGTAGAAAAACCATCCGAAACGCACGCTCGACCGGCGATTTTTTCGACCTTATTTCTGAAATTTCTTTCAATTTTGCGTAATAAACCGAAAAAAACGTCTATTATGGATTGGTGAGGCCGCCAAGACCTACAGTTTGATACAACTGGCATAGTTGTAGGTGTTGTGGTTACCGAGATGAATCGAGTCGCTAAATTACACCAGACCAAGCACAATACTCGTTCTCCCACCTCCAAGAGGGAAGTGAGAGTGGAGGTAAAGAACGAGTAAAAAACACAACTTGTTAAGGTTCGTCTTGTTTTGATCAAAACATCTTCTAATTTTAAAACTTTGTTTTTTAGTATATTGGTTCCGATATGATGAGTGGACAGACATGTGAGAAATGGCGACTGGTAGACACCAAGGGAGAAAAAGTCAATAAGTACACCATTTGGGTGAGGTACAAGGTAAGATCGAGATATTCAATGGGATGCACTTTCACATAAATTACTGTACTCACTGTACTCTTCTTTTTTCAATTAGAAAGGACCTGGTGGAAAGAAGTATCTTATTCCAGTGCGATATGAGATGAAGGGTTTCAACTCTCTTCTTGGCTCTCACTATGATCATTATTTTCTTGAATACGACTGGTATTCAGTTGAACCCATTGATTCTAATGTTTTTGAAGTCCCTTCAGGTAGGTTTGCAAGTACTTTCTCTTTACATATGTCAAAAAATTAAGTACAATTGCATCTTAGCACACTACCTCTTTATTCTTCTTCTTTATTGTAGATCTGAAATGTGAAAGTTTTCCTGGTCCTGGTAGTGATCATGTTGTCACCTTTAATCCTATGCAAGAATTTGTACACAGAGATGATCGCCATGTTGTTGCCGCCTTTGATGAATATTTGAGGACTCACAAGAAACAGTACTCTAGATATTCAGAACATTCAAAGCGTCATGGCATTTTCTTGCAAAACTTACGGTCTGTAAAATGCTAATTCTACTCTGGAATTGTGGCCCATTTTGTTGCTAACATTACTTTTTTGATTGATGCAGCTTTATTCATTCATCAAACCGAGCCAATAAGGGATATCAGTTAGCTGTGAATCATCTTGCAGACCGCACTGAGCTTGAGCTTAAAGCTTTAAGAGGAAAACAGAGGTCAACCACAACTTACAATGGTGGTCTGCCTTTTCCCTATGACTCAACAAAAATGGTTAAAGATGTGCCAGCAGAATACGATTGGAGATTGTACGGGGCAGTTACACCAGTCAAAGGTAAACCACTCTGGATTTTATTTTAATTATCACTGGTTTAAATTTACTGATTTACTAGGTAACTTAATATTTATTTTGTCCTCCCCCCTTGCAAAACATCAGATCAGTCAGTCTGTGGATCTTGTTGGAGTTTTGGAACAACAGGAGCTATTGAAGGAGCATACTTTGTAAAGTATGGCAAGCTACTAAGACTATCCCAACAAGTTAGTACTTGACAGATGTTTTAATAACTTAAATTTTTCATGATTTTGATACTCATTTTTGTCTTTTGCAGGCTCTAATTGATTGCAGTTGGGGATATGGTAACAACGGATGTGATGGTGGAGAAGATTTCCGCTCTTACCAGTGGATGATGAAGCATGGCGGTCTACCCACTGAAGATGCTTATGGACCCTATTATGGACAGGTGATGAAGCTTACAAATTGTGATTCCCCTAAACTTTATTTTTTTTTCTAATACTCATGATAACATTGACATTACAGGATGGATATTGTCATCTTGATAATGTCACATTGTCCGCACCAATCAAAGGATATGTTAATGTTACGTCAGGAGACGCAAATGCTCTAAAAGTGGCAGTTGTGAAACATGGCCCAATTTCTGTTGCCATTGATGCTTCCCATCGTACATTCTCATTCTATGCCAATGGAGTTTATTATGATCCTAAATGTGGTAAGTAAATAGTAGTTATTTTACTGAGGTAGTATTTGCATTATTAATTGCATTGAGTTTTCAATCTCCTTGATTTTTTAGGAAACACGACAGAAACATTAGACCATGCTGTTTTGGTTGTTGGTTATGGTAATTTGTATGGCAAACCATACTGGCTTGTGAAGAATTCATGGTCAAACTATTGGGGAAATGATGGATATGTTCTGATGTCTCAGGAAAACAATAATTGTGGTGTAACATTAGATCCAACTTATGTTCTTATGTAAAATTATAATTATTTTGAATACTACTGTATCTTTTTCGGGAAAAAACTCAGTAAATTAAATAAAATGTAATTAAAATGTCAATTTATTCGTGATTTGTCTGTCGTACCATGATTAGGAATGTCAAATAAACAAAATTCATTCAGAAAAAAAGACTAGAAAGTAAAAAAATAAAATACGACGAAAAAGGTAATAGTTAAAATTGATTGGTTGCAAAACTAATTCTCACTGCACTCTGACTTATTCAAGTCAGCAAGTATATCGCTTGGTATTCCATCTCTTTCCTGGAGTTGCTGCAAAATAGAGAAAGACACTGCAATTCATTTTCGGCACTCATCTTTCAATTAACTAGAACTATTAGGGACCTACCATTAACATCTTCACTTCCATTTCATCATCCATATCTCGTACAGAGCGTAAATATGTGTAACACAATTTGTCAAAAGGAGAATAGTAAGCGTCATCCAATTTGGGTTTTAGCTTCCGAAGTAATATAGTCTTCCATGCAACCCTCACTGCCAATCCATCTGCCAATGGCCTCCTTCGCCACAAGTCAAGACTGGTTCCCTGGAAAATTGCGTTTGAAATAAGATAGAATAATTAACAGAATAGATAATTTATTAAAATGAATAGCCGCCTAAAATATACTTCGCATACATACCTTGGTGTCAAACATGTGTCCAGGTAAATTTAAGTACTCTGTCACAAGATCTGAAAAGCTTCCAGTTAAAGGAGGATGTCCCGAATGATTTTTCACAACAAGTAAATGGCATGCCTGCACAAGAGAAATGTAATTCAGAAACCTAAATCTAGGAAAGAGAACTTTCTGAAGTATTGCAGTGAGCAAAAACTGTGAAAAACAGATTTAAATAAAAACGCAATGGCACATACCTGTGTATCAAAAACATTGGTTAGCATGACATCATGTTTACGCTTGAGGCAGTCAGAAAGAAATCTACAGTCATGCACAACTTTTAATACATTGCGAGATTCCAAGAACCTCTTAAGAAATGAACGATGTTCCTTGAAAATCCTAGCCCCAAGATTTACAATGTCAAATAAAAATACAGCTTGTTGGGTAGCAATCCCCAGGATTACAAGGTGGCTGAAGCGTGCTTGGGCACTCCCTTCCCCTATTACAGCAACAGTACTCTCTTTCTGAATACAACTGACCTGCAACATAAACGAAGCAAACAACATTGTATGAACAGTTTGGATAATAGCAGGTCAAAGTAAACTCTACCAATGAACAGAAACTTACAGCTTCATAAAACTTGTTATCAATTTGATCAATAAATACATGATTCTCAACTATATTTTTAGTTTTATCATAAAATACCCCATATTCATTTGAGTTGCATGATGGGGAATCATCTCCCGAAGGTGAGACCCCCCCTAATCCATTTGATGTGCACGCTGGGGGATCGTCTCTTAATGGAGAAATGTGTTCTTTTTGTTGGGTATGGTTGTTGCTCTCTTCAACCTCCAAATCTAAACAAGAAACTGAAAATATCCAGTTAAGAAATATTGCGAAGAATAAGGATTGAAGATAACAATAAATGAACATACATTAGCGTAATTAGGTAAATTAAATAATTTTATTACTTTTGTGAATTTCATTCAGTTTAAACTCCAGCTGTTCAAAAGATTTTCCATCACTTGGCACAAATGATACATTGTGTAGGATTATTGACTTGCGTGTAGCATTGTCACGATTAAAAGTTGCCTCTAGATTTCTATTATCTGACAATGTTATGAACAATTTTTGACCTTTAAAATATTTAGTTTTGTTCTTATTGTTTAAATCCATCTTAGAACCTAGGAACTTAAAACCTAAATACAAAGGAAAAAAGAAGTATTACAAATAAGATGAGATTAAGTAAAAGACCTGAAGATAACATTTTTTAGCACTTACAAGTGATAAGTTTAATCTTGTTTAGCTGGCTTCTCAGGTTCAGTAGGTTTGGAGTAGGCTTTGAAAATGTACATGCCCAGTGCAATGTGCAGCATTACAACAGCACCCACAGCTGCACTTATATTGGAAGTAACATTGGTTAAACCAAAAATGTCTGGAAAAAGTGCAATAAAATATGATAAAATACTAGTTTCCCCAAATGAGTGGTCAGAACTTGTCAAGACTGAAAGATACTATTCGCTCTTTCCAAGTGAGACATCACTCACAAACAGGGCAGTATTTCAAACAAGCACTTTCACACAAGAAACAAGTAACAACTAGCAGGACTTTTTTCCAAAAATTTATCACTGTTCAAATGAAAATAAATTGCTTAAAATTTGAGGCTTCATTAGTCTCTTGTTAAGTTTTAAGAGTAGGAATGCGCACAATGACACTTTGGCAACAAATTAAATGTAAAATGCACATTTTAAATGAAGTACCAATGTGCCATCCTTAGGGCGCTTTTCTACTCCTATTACTGGCTTTGCGCTTTGAGGGCAGTAAATCTCAGATACTTAGCGAAAAAAGGCAGATTTGATTGAGGTAACTGAACAGTTTATGAACTGGCCCCGGTTGTGATTTTCTGATTTCTTTGGCCATGACATGAAAGAGTCAAACGAGAAGAATTGAGTTTGCGAGTCAACCAAACACTTTCCAATAAACTTACTATCAAAAGCATATTTGGATGCAAAGAAGGTGACCACAGGGCTTACTATGATAAAGAGGGAATAGTAGAGCACAACTCCGAACACTCTCAGATCCGTCTCCTGTAAGATAAGAGTAAACAGGAGTATTACTTGCATGCAGTAGACAACCAAAAACAAGTGTTCATAACAGTTTAAGTGAAAGTTGCCGAATCTATGAAATCCACCTCCACCGTCCGAAACCCATAAAATTAATACAAAACTAAGCTGACAGATATAAATCAAGATTAACTTTAAAAGTATATTGGTACATGAAATGACCTGGGTCTTTGGATCCGGCTAACCTCCAAGCTTCACTAAATTTATGATTTTGCACTCAGAATATAACTAAATGCTTACGCGAGCAGGCTGCATAACGGATGATATAAATGAAATCAGTCAATTTCAAGAATGTGTGACAAGATACTGCAAACTGACACAAGATAACATACAAATAATGTGGCCTAAGTGATTTGTCAGAGAACTTCTAACCCAACCCAAAACTGGACGCCAACTGTTATTCACGTGATATGATGATGGGATCTTTTAGGTTTCGGTAGGCGAGATAGTAAGGCCCTTTGCGAGACTACAAGATGTAAGTATGACAAATTTATCACCTCACATTTTTGGGGGGAGGGGGGGTGACGAAGGGGCGGAACTTCCGCCGCGGAAGGAGCGGAAACGGCAGGTCTATTACGTTCTCTTTCCTCATTCAGAATGAAGCCCCGTTTAGACGGTCTAGACGGCGTTCCGTTCCGCAGTTTCCACTGTTGTCAGACTTCTGACTAATTTCCAATTGTGTTGGAATCATCGCTGTTCTGATTTTTATGGTGTTTCTAGTTTCCAGTTGCACCTAATTAGCTTGGCGCGTCTTCTGGAACGTCTGACTAGGTTTATGTCAGTTATTACTCTGATATTTGTAGCGCGAGCGGAAAAGCGGCAACGCCGGAAACGGCTGAAAGACGACCTGTCTAGACCGTCTGAACGGGGCTCGTGCGCCACGGCGAAAAGAGAACGTAATAGACCTGCGGGGAACTAGAAGCACCCTCTGTGCAGGGGACGTCCCTGGCCACAAACCCGGCGGCCAGAGTCAGCTTAATCCGACCCGCCTATAGAACACCCCATTTCGGGTAATACGAAATCCAAAGCCTTCGGGATGTAAGCAGAAGGCAAGGACATGTTAGGCAATAGTCCCTAACAACCCGGAAGGCCCCGGATGCATATAAACCAACACAATGGGGCCCACATTAAGGACATCTTTTGTAAGGATTGCCTACCCTCCAGGCGCCCTCAGCCACAACTGGGCCCCACACCTCGCCCGAAAGTGAACCACATTACAAACGAGCCAAGACATACGAGGCCATCTCGAAAGGCTGCTCGGCGGGCGTGCCTACCTACCCAGCACCCTCAACCACAACTGGGTCATCAGCCACAACTCGTCCAAAGGGTCACCCACTCATTACTAGGCACCGGTCGCGGGCGTAAGGGCGAGTGCTGCTCGGCGGGAACGCCTTCCTACCAGGCGATCTCATCAACAACTGGACCCTGGGGTAAAAAATAAAAAAATAAAAAATACCCCCAAAAGTCAAGAGTCGAACCTACGACACGGAGAGCCGAAATGAGCAGCGATCCAGCACGCAACTTCCTGAGCCAGCAGACCACACACCCGAACCGCCATCAGACACCGATATATGAGGCATGGCTTTGCAGACCCTTCAAACGGCGGGGCGCGCGTGCCTCCGGCCCGGGGAGCCAGAGGTGCCCCCTTTCGGCCGCTC